ATGATGGGAGATGCAGGCTGGAGAATCTGGGGATGATGGGAGATGCAGGCTGGGGCCTCTGGGGATGATGGGACATGCAGCTGGAGTATCTGGGGATGATGGAAGATGCAGGCTGGAGCGTCTGGGGAGGATGGGATATACTAGGCTGATCTATAATCGTAATAAGCATGTGATTTGAGGCGAGATGCAGCCCGGAGCGGCTGGGGATGATGGGAGATGCAGTCCAGAGCCTCTGCCCCACGATAAGTAATGCAGCCTGGAGCATCTAGGGTGGTAGCCGAAGCCGCCAAACAGAGGAACACATTTTTTTTCCTTCTTGATCACATTGCAGACTTTTCTTTCCCCCTTCAGCTGCTTTTTCACCTGAGATGATGCCCAATGTTTGAATCCGGATTAAATCTTATTATTTCCCTCTCGGGCTAAATGCTGAGATTTTTTTTCATCCTGCCGGCTGCCTCCTTTGAGGTCTTCTTTCTAAAACGGGTCTAATTGCTTTAAAAAGGAGAACAGGAAAAAAAAAACTTTACTACCTGGGGAAGAGGGCGGGGCCTAAGGGGGCGGGGCTCCACAGGGGGCAGGGCAGGTGTCCTTTCCAACTCCCCGCCTGTGGAAAAGTCCGCCCACCTGCCACCTAGAACCGGGACGTTCTTGCCTGGACTCGATGCTCCCCTTGCGCCCAGACGCTCTAGCCGCCCACTCCCCCGTTAGAAAACCCAACGTAACCTTCGAACGTCCCCGGCTCTATGGTTGGGCGCTAGAGAAAACGGGAAGGAGGGTCGCGCGGGGCAGGCTGGGAAGGCCGACAGTTTCCGCTTTCGCTTCCGCCGCTGCCATCTTGCTTTCCTTCCCGGGGAGGGTCGGCGTTTTGCAGCCTCGGCGGCGATGAAGCCCCTTCTGGTGCTGGCGCGGTGCATCCCCGTGAGTCAGTTTACCCGGCCGGGGGAAGCGGCCAAAGCGGAGGGAGCCGGGCCTGGGATTCCTCCCCGCCTTTCCCGGGCGTGCAAGCGACCTTGACCGGGTCCTTGCAGCGAAGGGGGCGGCCGGGCTGTTGGTGCTGGTGCTACTGCTTCTCAGGGGTCGGTTGAGGGAGGCCGAAGGGCTTTTGGGTACCTGAGGCCGAGGCCTGGTTAGGCTGTCGGGGCTGAGTCGCCCCTGCAGGGAGGTCGAGGGGTCGTCGGGCTCTGGCCGCGGGGGGGGGGAGAGGAGAAATCCCTGCAGGTTGAAAGCTAGTAGGTCAGGGAGAAGGGTATATATTCAAAGGAGTTGTGTGTGTGTGATTGTCAGTTAAAAAAGATACACATTTTACAAAACCCTAAACAATAGGAATTAATAAAAAAGGTAAATACGGAACTCAGGTAAAAGGGAGGGAGGGAGGGAGTAGGATGGGGGGGAGAGGAGAAATCCCTGCAGGTTGAAAGCTAGCAGGTCAGGGAGAAGGGTATATATTCAAAGGAGTTGGGTGTGTGTGTGATTGTCGGTTTAAAAAAATACGCATTTTACAAAACCCTAAACAACAGGAATTAATAAAAAAGGTAAATACGGAACTCAGGTAAAAGAGAGGGAGAGAGGGAATAGG